TGTGGAGAAAGGGGAACACTCCTACAGTGCTGGTGGGAATGCAGTTTGGTGCAGCCACTATGGAAAACAGTGTGGAGATTCCTCAAAAGACATTTTTAAATCTGACTTTTTAATTAAAAAAATTTTCTGCAACTTCATTTTTTAAATTGAAGTATAGTCAGTGTACAATGTTGTATCAATTTCTGGTGTACAGCATACTAGTTCAGTCACACATATACATACATGTATTCATTTTCATTTTAAATTACTACAAAATGTTGAATATAGTTCCCTGTGCTATACAGTAGAAACTTGCTCTTTATTTTATACATAGTAGTTAGTATCTTCAAATCTCAAATTCTCAGTTTATCCTTTCCCAACCTCTTACCCCCTGGTAACCATAAATTTGTTTTCTATGTATTTGAGTCTGTTTCTGTTTTGTAAATAAATTCTTTTGTCTTTTTTAAAATATTGAGTTGTATTATTTCTTTATATAATTTGGATATTAACCCCTTATCAGATGTGTTGTTTGAAAATATTTTCTCTTATTCAGTAGATGGTCTTTTCATTTTGTTGATGATTTCCTTTGATGTACAAAAGCTTTTTAATTTTATGTTATCCCATTTGTTTATTTCTGCTGTTGTTGTCCTTGTCTGAAGTGACAGTTCCAGAAAATATATTTCTAAGGCCAGTGTCAAACAGCATACTGTCAATATTTTCTTCTAGAAGTTTTGTGGTTTCAGGTTTTCCATTTAAGCATTTAACCCATTTTGAGTTCATTGTCCTATATAGTTTAAAAAATGGTCCACTTTCATTTCGTTGCATGTAGTTCAGTTTTCCCAACACCATTTATTGAAGAGACTATCTTTTCTCCATTGTATATTCTTGCCACCTATCCTCCCCCACTTTTGATATTGAATAAAACCTACTTTCCATGCCATTTAGAAAGCTTAAAAATATTTAAAATGTGAAATACAACACAAAACAGGAAAAGCAGGCACTTGAGAAGCTATGGGCTTCTGTAAAATTTAACTTTTAAAATCAGAAACAAAAGTTGCCTTGCTACTTGTCCTTTCATTGATTTAATCTAAAGTCTTGATCAATATGACAACCAACATGTAATTACCAGCAGTGCTTCTAAAGCATCTGAGTTATTAGAGGTTGGATATCATGTAATTCTGGATCACTCCAGTAATTCTGTTCATAACCCCTTGCATTCAAGGAGAATGCATTATAATGCTAATAGCACCAGGACAGTCTCCTGGAAATGGAATACCTTTAACCATTCTCCCAACTCACTTGTTTTTCTTTTAAAGTGTAAATAGGCCAGGGGAGAGAAACATTTTTAAAGATCTTAGAGTTTATACAAGTATTTGTTGAGTTGCTGCTACTTACACGTCGTTGCTATGGAAAAGATGAAACACAAAGGGTAGGATTTCAGTAAAATTGATACAGTGCTGTCATTTATATATTTAGCCTGAATTATTTATTCACATGGCAAACATTTCTTTTTGCAATATTTTATTTCTATTTTTTAAAAACATTTTTATTAAAGTTAGTTAATTTACAATATTGTGTTATTTTCTGGTGTACAGCAAAGTTATTCAGTTATACATATTAATATCCTTTTTCATTTTCTTTTCCATTATAGTTTACTGCAAGATATTGAATATATTTCCCTGTGCTATGCAATAGTGCCTTGTTTATCTGGTTTATATATAGTAGTTTATATCTGCTAAAACCAAACTCATAATTCATCCCTTGCCAACCTTTTCCCTTTGGTAACCATAAGTTTGTTTTCTATGTCTGTGAATCTGTTTCTGTTATGTAAGTAAGTTAATTTGTATCAGATTTTAGATTTCACATAAAAATGATATCATATTTGTTTTTCTCTGTCTGACTTACATCACTTAGTATGATAATCTCTAGGTCCATCCATGTTGATCCAAATGGTTTTATTGCTGAGCAGCGTTTCATCTTCTGTATCTATTCATCTGTCAATGGACAATTAGGTTGCTCCCATGTTTTGGCTGTTGTAAATATTGCTGCTGTGAACACTGGGATGCATATATCTTTCCAAATTAGAGTATTCACTGGATATATACCTAGGAACAGGATTGCTGAATCATGAGGTAACTTATTTTTAGTATTCTTAAGGAACCTCCATACTGTTCTCCATAGTGGCTGGACCAATTTACAGTCCCGCCAACAGTGTAGGAGGGTTCCCTTTTCTCCACACTCTCTCCAGCATTTATTATTTGTGGACTTTATGATGATAGCCATTTTGATCAGTGTAAGGTGATACTTCATTGTAGTCTTGATTTGCACTTCTCTTAATAATTAGCGATATTGAGCATCATTTTTTGTGTCTATTGGCCATCGATATGTCTTCTTTGGAGAAATGTCTACTTAGGTCTTCTGCCCATCTTTTAATTGGGTTGTTTGTTTTTTTAATTATTGTATGGCCTGATTTTATATTCTGGAAATCAAGCCCTTGTAGGTCACATAGGTCACATTGTTTGCAAATATTTTCTCCCAGTTCACAGGTTGTCTTTTCATTTTGTTTAAGGTTTCCTTTGCTGTGCAAAAGCTTATAAGTTTGATTAGGTCCCATTTGTTTATTTTTGCTTTTATTTCTATTGCCTTGGGTGATAGACCTAAGAAAATATTACTACGATTTTATCAGATAATGCTTTGCCTATGTTTTCTTCTAGGAGTTTTATGGTGTTCTAGCTTATATTTAAGTCTTTAAGCCATTTTGAGTTTATTTTTTTGTATGGTGTGAGGAAGTGCTTTAACTTCAATAATTTACACACAGTTGTCCAGCTTTTCCAACACCACTTGCTTAAGAGACTGTCTTTTCTTCATTGTATATTTTTGCCTTCTTTGTCAAAGATTAGTTGACTGTAGGTATGTGGGTTTATTTCTGGGCTCTCTATTCTGTTCCATTGATCCATATGTCTGTTTTTGTGCCAATACCATGCTGTTTTGATTACTGTAGCTTTGTTGTACTGTCTGAAGCCTGGGAGGATTATGCTTCCAGCTTTGTTCTTTTTATTCAGGATTGTTTTGACAATTCTGGTTCTTTTATAGTTCCATGTAAATTTTAGAATTATTTGTTTTAGTTCTGTGCAAAATGTCATGAGTAAATTCATAAGGATCACATTAAATTTGTAGATTGCTTTGGGTAGTATGGCCATTTTAACAATATTAATTCTTCCAATCTGAGAACATTGCCATTTCTTTGAATAATCTTCAATTTCCTTTATCAATGTTTTATATTCTCAACATATAAGTATTTAACCTCCTTGGTCAGGTTTATTAATAATATTTTAATATTTTGATGTGATTTTAAAAGTGATTTTTTTTAATTTCCTTTTCTGGTGTTTCATTTTTAAAGAAATGCAACAGATTTCTGTATGTTAATCTTGTATCCTGCTACCTTGCTGAATTTGTTTATCACTTCCAGTAGTTTTTGTGTGGAATCTAAAGGGTTTTATATATATATATATAGTATCATGTCATCTGCACATAATGACAATTTTACCTCTTCCCTTACAATCTGGATCCCTTTTATTTCTTTTTCTTGCCTGATTGTTGTATCTAGGACTTCAAATACTGTGTTGAATAGAAGTGGTCAGAGTGGGCATCCATACCTTTTTCTAGGTTTTAGCAGGAAGGCTTTCAGCTTTTCACCCTTGAGTATTACATCGGCTGTGAGTTTGTCATAAATACATAGCTTATTATGTTGAGATATGTTCCCTCTATACCCACTTTGATTAGGGTTTTTATCAAGAATCGATGTTGAATTTTATCAAATGTTTTTTTCTGCATCTAATGAGATGATCATGTGATTTTTATCCTTTCTTTTGTTGATGTGGAGTATCACAGTGATTGATTTATGTATGTTGAACTATCCTTGTGACCCTTGAATGAATCCAACTTAATCATGGTGTATGACTTTTTTTATATGTTGTTGGATTCAGTTTGCCAATATTTTGTTGAGGACTTTTATATCTATATTCATCAAAGATATTGGCCTATAATTTTCTTTTTTGTAGTGTCTTTGTTTAATTTTGGTATCAGGGTGATTGTGGCTTCATAGAATGACTTTGGGAGTGTTCTCTCCTCCTCCATCTTTTGGAAGTGTTTGAGAAAGATCAGTATAAGTTCTTTTATGTATGTTTGGTAGAACTCCCTTATCAAGCTATCCAATCCTGGACCTTTGTTTGAAGAGAGGTTTTATTTATTTATTTATTTATTTATTTATTTACAGATTCTATTTCATTTCTAGTGATTAGCCTGTCCAAATTTCCTATTTCTTCTTGATTCCATTTTGTAGGGCTGTATGTTTTTATAAATCTATCCATTTCTTCTTGGTTGTCCAGTTTGTTGGCATAAAATTGTTCATAGTATTCTCTTATGGTTGTTTGTATTTCTGTGGTATCAGTAGTTATTTCTCCTTTTTCTTTTCTTATATTGTTTATTTGGGTCCTCTGTCTTTTCTTCTTGGTGAAACTGGCAAGAGATTTGTCTATTTTGTCTAGCTTTCAAAAAAAAAAACCCAGTTCTTGGTTTTATTGATCTTTATATTGTTTTTTTATATCTACTTTATTTATTTCATTTCTGATCTTTATTATTTCCTTCCTTCTCCTGACTTTGGATTTTGTTTGTTCTTCTTTTCTAATTCTTTTAGGTGGTAGGTTCAGTTATTTGACATTTTTCTTGTTTCTTGAAGAAGGCCCACATTGCTATGAACTTCCCTCTAAGGACTGCTTTTGCTGCATCCCATAGGTTTTGTACAGTTATGTTTTCATTGTCATTTGTCTCAAGATATTTTCAAATTTCCTCTTTGATTTCATAGTTGACCCACTGTTTTTTCACTAGTATGTTGTTTAGTCTCCATGTAATCATTTTTTTCTCATTTCTCTTCCTGTGGTTGATTTCCAAACAGTTTTAGTTTTAGATCAGAGTATTTTCAACTATTTGATGAAGGGGGGCTGGAGTAAAAGATAAGGTTGAAGCACTTCTGAAGAAGGAAGACCTAAAAAGCAATTTGAGACAGTAAATGGTGAATTTGTGACTAGAAGATGATGGAGAGAATGATGTTCTAGAGTGGAGAATTGGAGAAAGAAAAGAAGATGCTAAAGACTGACTTTTGGATACTACTTTAGCAAGGCTTCTGTGTCTCCTAGACTATAAACTGTGTAGTGAAAGATCTGTTTTTTTCTGTTTGTGTATCTCTTCTAGTAGATTGTGAGGGCAGATTACCATTTTATTTACAGGGCTTACTCCAATATCTGCACAGAGCAGACACTCAAGAAACATTTGTTAAAAGAAAAAGATCACAGACATCTCTTCTAATGATGGTTAACTGTTGTTTCTGCATCCATTTCTGCTTATATTTAAGTCATTGTGTGCCAGAGTCTTATACTGCTCCCCTGATCCTTAGGAAAATGCAGCCAATACACACAATTTGTCTAGCCAATATTTAGTTTTAATGTTTTCTTTTACATAAATGCCTTAAGAAAGTACATACACTCACCAGTTCACCTCAGCCATTGCTACTATATAATATCCAGCATACATGACTTCCTTTAATTACTTGCATTGGCCTGAAGGCATTTGAGTTTGTGAGCCTGTCAAGTACTTGCCCCAGGGTTATTCTTATTTATCTTGCCTCCTCTCCTTTTTTCTCTCAATTTACCCCTCTCATTTATTTAACAAACTTTTTTTGCCATTTACTATGTACCAGTCCCTGTGATAATCAATATTATGATGAATAAAAGACACCTTGTCCTGAGGAAGCTCACAGTATCGTTGGAGTGATGGACAAGTAAATAGCTTATTATAGATTAGCATGAATAGATTTATGGATAACACACTATAGGATAATATACCTAATCATTCCCTTTATCTGTTTTATTTTCCTCTTTAACTATCTCTTTTCTTTCTCCTTTCTTCTTTCTTATTTATTTAGAACTAAGAAGTATTTTAAACTCAGAACTGACATAAGAAACTTGGTCAAAATTCCTGCTCATCCAGAATGGAGGAAAATTGAGCATCTAGAATTTTATCATCTTTGCAAAATAATGTCCTGAGAAACACATACATTTGGACTATACCATAAGTTTAAAGGATGATTCTGTCGATTAATATTTTGCACATATAAATGAAACTCTCTGAATTTGAATTTTCCAATTTGTAAAATGAGGATAATGATACCTATCTTACATTTGGATTGTTAAAGGATTCAATATAATATATCTAAAGCATGTTGCACAGTGCATAATAGTTGGTAGGTAATCATTATTAGTAGTTCTTGTTATTCACTCCTTCAATGTACTTATTGAACGTCTGTTATGTGCATCTATCGTGATGCTGCCATGCCTCTAGGTTCTGGGGAAATAAGGTACTTCAAGGTCCAGTATTTATTATTTAATCTAAGACAGATAGCTGAAGTCATTGCTTTAGCATTTGATCATAAGTTAAAATTACTATGTAATAATACAAAATTAGATTGTATTTATTTAATCATAATTATAGGTGTCAAAATGATCCATTAAATGTTATAGTGATTGTGTTTTTCATATCTACAAATCCAAATGAAAGCTCTAAATTTGTTAAATTAGAGATATAACACAACTAGACTTTGGGAAACCCCCAACTTCTAGGCTTTGGCTATCATCATGAGTCTCAGGCACTGGAACTTTCTAATTTTTAAATTCATTACCTCACTTCTCTATCCTGGAAACTTAAGATACTCTATTACGGGAAACACACATACATACATAGTATACATATAAGAGAGAAACTCCACCACTTAAAGAAAAATCAACAGGGACATCTGAGGACTCAAATCCCCACTTACTGTGGGGAGGCAGTTTAGTACAGTGGTTGAAAGAGCAGACTTTAGAGCCAGATATCCAATGTTGATGCTCACTCTAGAATTTATTGTCTATATGGCCTTAGGCATTTTCTACAATCTCTCTGACATAATTTTCTGAACATGTGAAATGAGGCTGGAAATAATAATGCCTACATTTTAAAATTATTATGATGATTAAATGAGTTAATCTATATAAAGTATTTAAAATAATGGTATATAATAAATGTTACATAAGCAACAGCTATTATTGTTGCTTATATAAGAAATATAAGGTAGTTGTGATTTCATTAAGTTCACAGCTTGCTGCGAAACATCTGATATTAAAGTGGAAAAATAGGAATCTTTTCTGTAACCAATCTT